CACACACACACACACACACACACACACACACCCCTACCTCTCATAACTTAGCATCGTTGACTCATGTTCGTGTCCTAGTGTCAGTCCCACAACATGTTGTTGTCGGTTTTTTTTTTTTTTTTTTTTTTTTTTTTCAACTACGCGACATTCTTGTGTGAAAGTAATTTTTAAGTTTTGCAATGATCTCCCAAACAACAAAAACAACTCGTCCTTCACATCAGGAAAAACCTGTACATCACTTGTCAAGCAGCCAGGGAGAGGAAGTAGAGGGGTCATAACAGTGTTCTCTCCCCCACCCCACCCCCCGGCATTTTGTCCCCTTAAAAAAGGGGTAAAGTAGCCCCTAACATTTTTGTATCGATTTGATTCCATCAGGATTCGAACTCACAATCCGTTTATTAACAGTTAGTACATGTTGGTGAAGTACCATTCAGCCACGTGGCGTGAGTGGGGGGGTTGGGGGGGGGGCTGGGTAGTCAGTGCGGGGGGGTCTTTTCCATTTATTTCATGTGTACCTGCATGATTGCTTTGGCCATGCCAACGGCATCGACTGGGACCACCGCACCTGTTCCGACCAGCAAAACCGAAAAACAAAAACAAGCAAAAAAAACTTCGTCAATCTCGCATATCATATCTGATTCATTGCCATTTTTTTTTGTCTTTTCGCTGCACTACTCTCCAAATGCTCAAAATGAGACTGAATCCCCCTAGGACATGCAAAGATACATTGCCATTTTTTTTGCCTTTTGTGCATGTGGAGAGTAGTGCAGCGAGGCCCATTTTTGTAATAACGGGACGCTGGGCCCGGTTGGTCCCCGCCACGTGTTGTTTCCCACAGATAAGATCGGAGCCATCAACTCCGGGTCAGCGTTGTTTGTGGAACTCTGTCCCCTTTTCCACAGAGAGAGACACACACACAGAGAGAGAGAGAGAGAGAGAGAGAGAGAGAGAGAGAGAGAGAGAGAGAGAGAGAGAGAGAGAGAGAGAGAAGGGCAGCACTAAAAAGCTTGCTCTTGTTGGTTGTTTCCATGATCTTTCTGCTTCTGTTGTTCTTTGTGTGCTGTTCTTGAGGTTTTCCTTTCAAGCTTTGTTATCCATTTTCCGCCCTCTGTTTTCCTCTATGTGCAGATCATATAGCTTTTCCAAGACTCCATTAAGACATGATGATACAGACCCCTCTCTTGTTTCTGAGTCTTTATCGTCGTTCTCCCTTCTCAGACTTCTTCTCTTTCTCTTTGCCCCTCTCTATCTCCTTCTCAGTCTCTCAAAGCCCTCACTTTCTCCTCCCTACCTCTCTTCTCTCCCCTATGAAGTAACTGCTCTATCCATCCAGCCCCCTAATATAATATCCTACCCCATCCCTTGTCGGTTTCTATGATCTGCTGTCATCAACTTGTCATGTACACTTTTTTTTCTTTTTTCTTTTTTTTTCTTTTTTTAGGGTCTATGGCCTTGAAATATCATCATTTTTCTGATGTTCATAGGGGGAGGGGTAATCAGGGAGGGAGGCACAGCGACTGGCCACTCAGATGATGCTCGCTCCCTCTGCTACCGGCTGTCCCCTGGCCGGTGTCCCCCCCCCCATTGGGGGTTCCCTGAAGGCAATAAATAAAGGCCACCCTGGGCTGAAAAGGCCACCCGATGTCAGATTAGACACAATATTGAATTTACCTGGGCTGGTTAGTCCGATGATAATACCTCAAGGCCATCGCCCTTTTAAAAAATATATGTATATACCCCGAAAAAGAAAAAAAAAATCATCATTGGACTGACGGGCCCCAGGTAGTCCGGAGTTATTGTATTCTGTTCATCTGATTGCATCCGGATTCCATCGAACTGGGGGTCTGTATTTGAACAGTTCAGTTGAGGGGTGTACCAACTGAGCGAGGCCCGTTGGTTTGTCATGCAGTTTTGATACACAGTTCAGTTGAGGGGTGTATCAACTGAGCGAGGCCCGTTGGTTTGTCATGCAGTTTGATACACCAAAGCGCGTCCCCCCCCTTGTTGTTGTTGTTGTCTTTTTCTTTTTTATTTTTTCTTTGAAGAAAGAATGTCGGGGGTTTCGAAGGGAAAGGGACGACCCCCCCCCCCCCCCCCCCCAAAAAAAAAGGGAAGGACGAACTGACGGGCCTAGCTCACGCGGTGCACCCATGAACTAGTGAAATGCACACCTGAGTTGGAATCCGTCTACAAATTCGTACAGAATGCATCGAAGATATTGGGACGCTGGACCCTATTTCCAGCAGTTGATGCTCTCCATCAATCGATGGAGCCTCTCCGCAGGTGCTAGTGGTGCCTGCTTTTACCAGCACCACTAGCACTGTAGGGGGCGTTTCTGAGTTAATTAAAAAAAAAAAAAGAAAGAAAGAAAAAAAAAGGTGTTCGAGTACATATGAGAACTAGTCACCCTTTTTTTTTAGCGAAGTGGAGAAGAAAAAGAGAAGGAAGAATTAATGAAAAAAAAATGAAAAAAAAAGCGGTGTGATCTTTGTATTATTGTCAGTGAGGTGGTGATGATGGGTACAATGAAAGAAGGTATGAGGCAGGGTATCTTACCGATAAGGAATTTAGTGAGGAGAGGGGTCACAATAACCGAGCTGCAAGAAACGGAACCCAAAAAAAAAAAACAGAAATGAACCAACGAATGACAAACACATCATTGTGTTAATTAACACCTTGCCAAATCCCACACACACACACACACACACACACGAAAAATATATATACGATATATATATATTGCCCAATCGCAGACATAGCAGCCTGCCCTCCCTCCCTTTTCCCCTTCTTCCTTACCCTGCATTTCACTTTTTCTTTTTTTTCACCTTTTTCGTGCGGCCATGATCGCATGAGGCTGCCCAGATCATCAAATACATTGAATCTGTCCGTAACTGTTATTACATAATACATACATACATGATACATCCCAGAAAGAAAATCTTACTGCGACTATCTTTGTCGAGGGTTGAGGGGAAAAAGAGGAAAAAAAAACAAGAGAAAAACGCCCCTGCCCATGGATGGGATGCATAAATCGATAAATGGGCAAAATCTTAGGAAAAGAAAAAGTTCCCTTGACGCCTCTTCCGCACAGAATTTTAATGCTGTCCGTACGTCGCTGGGGCATCACAGTCGTTAGTTCAAGTTGGGACGATACAGAGAAGGGTAGCACAACTTTGGATGCACGCGTTAAATTGATGCACGCTCAAGGAGTCATGACCCACGCCCACATTTTAATGCACGTGCACCATGCTTACCTTGCATGCATGATGTGCACTGCAACCGTGCACCGTGCATGCGCATGACGTGCACCGCAACCGTGCACCATGCATGTGCATGACGTGCACTGAGCACATGCATGTGCATGACGTGCACCGAGCCCATGCACGTGCATGACGTGCACCAAGCAAATGCATGTGCATGACGTCCACCTCAACCATACACCATGCACGCGCATGATGTTGCACCAAAGTCATCGCCATGCATTGCATGACGTGCCCCGCAATCGTGCACCATACACCATGCACCGTGAGTGACGGGCATAGAAATGCACACTGCAACCATGCACCATGCATGTGTATGACCTACACCGCGATCGTGCACCATGCATGCACATGACGTTGCACCGCCACCGTGCACATGCATGTGCATGATGTGCCCTGCAATCGTGCAACATGCACGGCAACCGTGCACCGTGCATGAAGTGCATCGCAATGATGCATGTCCATGACGTGCACTGCAACCGTGCACCGTGCATGAAGTGCATCATAATCGTGCGATGCATGCGCATGACGTGCACTGCGTCCATGCACCATGCATGTGTATGACCTACACCGCGATCGTGCACCATGCATGATGTGCCCTGCAATCGTGCACTATGCATGTGCATGACGTGCACTGCAACCGTGCACCGTGCATGGCGTGCACTGCAACCTTGCACCGTGCATGAAATGCATCGTCAACGTCCACGACGTGCATGACGTCCGCTCTAACCCTGCACCATGCATGTGCATGACATGCATGTGCATATCATGCATGTGCATAACATGCATTGCAGTGCAGATAAGGCATGCTGCGATATACACAGCGGGTACGAAGGTTGACCAAGACGGCCCTGCTGAGTCCATGGACGTCAAATGGTAAACTTCTGGACTGAATATGGTCGTGATTGCTCTCAAAATTCAAATCCCTTGAGGAAGTCTTGGTGTGATTACCCCAAACGGTGCAGGAACGAAATGCACTGCACTTCTCGCTGCACGGCTATGGAGGAACTCTTCCATTTTTCAAACCAGAGCTCCGAGCCCAAGAAGGCACCTAACAATCCGACTTCTCTTCTCCTCTGCTCAGCGACGACATGTCTTCGCCTTGCTGCGCTGTTACGATGGCATCTCTCTCTCTCTCCCTCTCTCTCTCTCTCTCTCTCTCTCTCTCTCTCTCTCTCTCTCTCTCTCTCTCTCTCTCTCTCTCTCTCT